AGCGTTGTGGTCAGTACCCGAGTCCGTCGCCTCGTGCTCATGGGATGCGAGATCTCGTGGTGGAGAGGGCGGTGGCGGTGTTGGAGACTTCTGCTTGATCTGCTTTTTACCGCCTATGATACCCAGTCCTTTTGATTTCTTTGCTGGAGGCTTCTGTGGCGAGAGTGATCTTCGTTTCGTGGGTTCATGTTCATGATCTGTCTCACCGTCGGTTCCAGCGGTGGTAGCGGTGGTAGCGGGTGACTGTCGTTCAGGTTCCTTGGCTTTTTTGAGCCTGGGTGGTGTTTCTTGTCGCTGAGGCAATAGCATTAGAACAAGTACAGGGATACCTAAGGGTTGCACGCACCTCAAACTCATCGTCATCATCGAGATCATCGTTGTATGTGTCCGTGTCTATTTGTGAAACAGGCTTCGTGGGCTTTTCCTCCGCGGTTTTTGTGGCTTCTCCACGCTTTGGAGGCGCTCTGGTGCTAGCTCTGGTTGCTGTGAGCTTCACCCACCAGCTGTCTGGGGGTGGGCCGAGTCTCTCTATCTCCCTGGTCTCTCCGGATCCAGACACTTCCGCTAGAAGGTTGGCAGCAACAACTGAATCAGGCGACGATTTGGCGACTTCGTCAAGCCATTCTTGTTCATCAAAGGGCGCCACTCCTTTGATGTAGTTGGCAGCGTGGGAGAGTAACGTATCCCCGTGAGCTTTCCGCAGCCCAGCAATTCCAGGAAAGATGGTGCTCAGATCGATACCCATGCTCTCGATCTTATCGAAAAGCTTTCCTAGTACCCAATCTTTCTTACTAAGGTGGTCAAGGAGAGTTCGCTGGCGCGACTCCCACCCGGCTTCTGCTCGAAGTAATGGGAGTATAAGATGCTGAGATGTAGAAGATTGCCGTTCCTTTGAAAGATAAATAGTCCATATTAAAGGTCTCAACGGTGCAGGAAGCTTTGTTGATACTGTCAATTTCATAGAATCCTCTCGCAATCCATTTTCTAGCGATGCAGTACAGCCAGATTCGCCACTTAGAGCTTCACCTATCTTTCCAAGAAGCACTTCAAACTGTTCTGGGTCTTCGCTCGGGTCAATCGTAGTAGCATCTTCATCAGCTCTGTTGAGAATGTCCTGGCGACTCATATGCTCGGTCCAGATATTGGAAAGGTCAGTCATGTAAACATCGTAACTATCTAGAGTTCTGGAGTATCTTAAGAGAAGAGGAGGCAACCCATCCTGCCTTGGAAGATGAAGTCTCCTCCATTTCGAGGACATCATCAAAATCTCTCGCTGAGTAGTTGTGATTGATTATTATCATCCCAGGCAGCACTCCCAGTTGTATTCGACGTGATGGCGGAGCGGAGCACGTGCCGAACTGCGGAAACTCTGCCGCTCGGATAACCTTCCACCCCGGAAGCTTCTCCAGAGTCCAGACTATTCGCGGATCTTCCAAAGTGACGGCCATCGCGACGTTCAATAAAAACAACTGCTGCGACTAGTCTCTTTAACAAAATTCAAGGCGATCGAGCCACGAGGATGTCGTCGCGACTGCCTGACAGAACAGGCTCTAAGCGAAGCCGCTCTCGCTCCCCTTCATCGTGGCGCCAGCCCCAGAAATATCACCGCAAATACGACGAGAGAGACCGACACCGGGACGGTAGAAAATGGGAGGATGGAAACAGTCGATCATCGCAGGGGCCGGTTAGGAACATGCGAGACCAGGTGCGTCTCAATCAGTTACAGGAGGACGAGCAAGTGCGTGAATGGGTGGCGCAGGAGGACATGTTTGTTCTCAAGCAAGCGAAAAAGAAGGCCGAGATCCGCGTCAAAGAGGGTCGTGCGAAACCAATAGATTGGCTTACGGTTACTCTGCGAGTTATTGATCCAACACGGAACCCTCTTGACGACGAGATTGCGGACTCAGAGCTGGATCTGGTGGATCCTGATGGCGTTTTCGAAGGATTATCTCAGAGTCAATTACTTGAGCTGGAGAAGGATATCGATACATTCCTGAACTTGGAGAAGAATTCACAGAATAGGGATTTTTGGAAAGTAAGTCTTATCTGCGTCTTGCTCTCATTCGTTCGAGACTAATCTCGCGCCTCCGTTCAGACAATGAAGGTTATCTGTCGAGATCGCCAGAAAACGACTGCCCCCGAAGGACGTGCCCTCAGCTCCGTTGCCGCTGACATCAATCGACTCTTAAGCCCGAAAACATACGAGCAACTCGAGACCCTTGAGGTGCAGGTCAGGAAAAAACTGGACTCTAACGAGCCTATCGACACCGATTATTGGGAGGAGCTTTTACGCAGCCTGACGGTGTGGAAAGCTCGCGCTAAGGTGAAGAAGGTCTTCCAGGCCGTGATCGATGAGCGTGTCAGAGGGTTGCGCAAACAACAATATGAAGAGGCTGAATCTATCCGAACGAAGCTCGCTCCTCTTGCGCCCGTCATTCAGACCTATCAGGAACGACCTCAACAGCTTAGTGAGAAAGAAATTCGTGATCTAGATCCCGAACCATTGCTCCAGATTCGTCCAGAGGATAAAGGGTTGGAAATATTGGATGAAGGGGCTTTTCTCGATCAAGTCGTAAGTTGCCCTTGCTCTTGTATCTGTGGTCCCAGTTTGTTGCTGACTACGCTTGAAGGCACGCGAGCGACAAAAGATTCTAAAGATGGGCTTTGTTCCCCTTCGTCAGCGGCAGACGGAGAGACCCTCTGCAGCTTCCGCAAGCCAGACAACGAACATGTCTGCTGCTACAGCATCCACCCGCTTCTCATCGATTCCCAATGAGGATTTCTCGCAAGCGACGAAAGCTCTTTACGAGAGAGAGCTTGCTAAAGGAGTCAGTGAAAACGAGGAGATCTTTACGGGCGAGGAATCTGTCAGCACGGGTGCGCAACCGCAGTGGGCCAGCAAGTACCGACCTCGCAAGCCGCGGTACTTCAACCGGGTGCAAATGGGGTATGAGTGGAACAAGTACAACCAGACGCACTATGATCATGACAATCCGCCACCAAAAGTTGTCCAGGGCTACAAGTTCAACATTTTCTACCCCGATCTTATCGATAAAACAAAAGCCCCTACGTACCGCATTGAACGCGAGCATGGACGGAAACGCGGACAATCATTTGCCGCGGCTGGCGAAGAGGATACGTGCCTTATTCGATTCATGGCTGGACCCCCGTACGAAGATATCGCATTCCGGATTGTAGACAAAGAGTGGGACTATAGCGCCAAGAGAGAGAGGGGATTTAAAAGCACGTTTGACAAGGTATGCCCTGGCGCCCCTCCTATTGCACTTCCAAGTACTGACGTCCCAAGGGAATTCTACAACTTCATTTTCAGTTCAAGCGAGTAAGCTTTCTCCCCAATTTCCCAACTTGAGTCGCAGTTGTTTGTCAGGACAGCAGATACTGATTTGTTATAGATCTACTACCGGAAGTGAAGCGTCAACGCCGGCTTACCGATCGAACGATCTCACCGATTTATATCTCTTGGACGGTCTGGGTTGTGGTCACTCGCTTTCGATGTCCCAATAACTACGTACCTTGGACCAGGTAGATTCCATACTCGCGAATATTTCGGTTCAGGGCAATCTGCTGCGAGAGGAAATCCTGATCTATGATTGGCCGGGAATTACTAACCGTCCGCTTCTTCACTGGATCTCAGGACGGCCGACCACGGTGACTTTAAGGTACCTTAGGGGAAGGGCTAAGACGTGTCATACGAACCTACCTTGCCTTGCGGAGATGTCAACTAGGGTCTGGCTCCGGTTCTATGACCACACTCGCATATGAGAGGTTCCACGTGCGGGAGATCACTATTTGATGCTTAAATCCGCCTCATCTGCAACCCCTTTGAAGTATTGCACTTCTTCATCCGTTTCCTCCTTTGGGGGGCAACGCTTAAGATGCGTAACTTTTTCAACTTCGAGAGATGCTGATGAAAATCACGTGGGAGCCTGCAACGCATCCTTGGCACCCTGTCGCATTTCGGATCGTCGCCACGAAATTGAAACGGAGAGTGTTGTGGTGAAGGGGCGGCTATGTGACACCTATGCCACCTGCAGGCCGTTTGACGGCTTCCGGCTGGACGGGGAACAGAGGAATTGCTTGAGTATCTGCAGGATGGATTGAAAGAGAAGCACTTGGGGTTCCTCAAGACCCTGTGGCAATATCGATTCCAGAAAGGCCTGTGTCCTGGTCTCTTTCTTTTACTTTTTCCTTGCTCTCATAGTTCCATTTTCGGCTTGTTCCCACTAAAGTATGGACCATAGCAAGACTCTCTGCAGGCGTCCGCTATCCGCGAGCTCTAAGCTAATCCCGGTCGGCCTAGCTTGTAAAAATTTCACTGAACGATCCGTTGCAGCCCTCTGTAGTACCAGATCCAGTCTCTTCACAGTCATGGAGGTCATTAGTTGCGTCCCTATACTGGATCCCTGTTCCACAGCCTGGGAAAGCATTTCCTGTAGAAGGAATGGATTGAAGCACGACCACTGTATGAGTCTACCACACTCAGGACGCGTGACGGCCAAAAACTAGTCCCCCAACATCTCAGAGACTTTCCCTTGTTCGTTGGGGCCGGATGTGCATGAATCTGTCGGGTAGTCCGCAGCAGAAAAGGCGACAAGAAAGAAGGACGTCAAGTTTAGGTATGAGCTGGCACTCTACGCTTTTACCTCATGATAGTTCACCTTGAATGACCTGGTGCATCTTCTCTCTTGCTCAGTGGTCCCGCCTTTTTCTTTCTTTTTCTTTTTCCTTTTTCTTTGTCTTTGGAATACCTGTCAATTTCTGGGGCTCTTCGAATTTTCTGGCTTGTATCTCTTTTATTTTCGTATTTACTCTCCACAATTCTGATCTACTCTTCCCTGTATCTAACGGGGCCATCCCCTCATCAGTGCGCTTGATCTTTCTCTCTCTCTTGTGAGCCAGTCTTACACCTTATTAAACTCTATTACTATTATCTCTTCTCCGTGGATATTATCCTCTGATGTCAGTTCAACAAGGTTGTGTGGAGTTTCAAAACAGCCTGTGATTGACATTAGTTTGTCTTAAGACCAGACAATATGGTTCACTCCATTCCCTCCTACGATTCACCCGCAAACTGCTCTGACCACGGAGCTTATCATCATTACTCTTCACAGCTCTCACAATCATCATTCCCTTCTTCTGATGGCTCTTTAGCAGAGAATCCTGATAATTCCAATCCCTGCTCGATAGTGTGGATGAATTCAAGCTCAAGCAGCCCAGAGACCTTGGAGACAGCATTCACTTTTCCTGACCCATGGGCGCTCAGTACGACTCAGGTTTATCCCCTCAGTGCTTCTACGTCGCCGCTGGAAGCTCCAAAAGATGGAAGTCTTTATCTATTTTCGTACTGTGATGAAAGGACGTCTCACACCATGGCGCCCTACTCCAGACCGGACCAGGCAAATACGCAGTTTGGATGCTCTCGTGCGACTGAAAGTTCGTCAGACTGGATTCATGGAGTAGAAGGCCACGGTCGCAATGGCCCTGATTCTCAGATCTACCTTACGCCTTCACCAGCAGCTGAACACTTTCCACAACAGTCTGAGACTATGCATACCACACCCTCTCCTGCAACAAGGTCAGCTACGTCTTCCAATTCTCCACAGCATATCGATCGTGAGAGAACAGAAGTTGAGCGAGAAAACGAGCGCAATGATGAAGAAAGGAATTCAGGTCCAGACGACAGTGGCCCCACAGACCTTCCGTATTCTCATTTGATCGCGGAAGCTCTCAAGACTGCACCTGATAGAAAGCGTACCCTTCAAGAGATCTACAGCTGGTTCGAGCAAAATACAAGCAAGGGGAGAGACCAACGCTCAAAGGGATGGCAGAACAGTATCCGGCACAATCTCTCAATGAATGCGGTATGTAATCCCACAGATCTCCATGGTTTTACCTTTTCTTTGTTTTGATCTCTGTTGGGGTTGCGTGCTAAGATCCGCCATGACTCGCAGGGGTTTGAAGCCGTGAGGGTAGAATCTCCCAATGGCAAAAAGGCCGTGAACTACTGGCGCCTCACGGACGAGGCCTACAGAAAAGGCATCCAGTCGACTACCCGGTACAGGAAGCAAGCGAATCATAAGAGGCCTTTGGGCTCGGACCCGCCGGCTTCCCAGCGCCAACGATCTGGGGCCAAAGGAGGGAAGGCGACCAAGATTGCAGCCAAGTATCGCGGCCAGATGTTTTTGATGACAGGATGCCAGCAGGACGCTGCACAAAGGGAACGACTGTATCTGCATCCCGCCCCTCTGCAGCTGCAGCTGCAGCTACCGTCACAGATGGTGAATCGCCCTCCGTACCTTCGCGCAGCTACTTCTGTGGCGACAGTGTCACCAACCCGTGCGTCGGGTCCGGCCACGCTGATGCATCGACAGTCAGCGGAACAGTACAATTTGGGTAGCGTCATTGGCTGTACGGAGGCCCCCTCCCTGTACCCCTATGTTCCATGACATGGCGGGGCCTAGCGAAGAGTATTGTTTTGCATATGAAAGCGGGATTGGGGGTTGCTGTGGAGTCTATTTGCTCCCTCATTGATTACCTACAGTTAATGACCATGGCTGGTGGACCGGCCCGGAACCCTCATCAGATCTTCAGCTCAGTGTATGATAATTTCTGGACTATTGAGAGGAGAGAGTGGGCCACAGTCAAACAGATTTTCGAGACACCAGGGCCAGTGCTCTGCTACTTGACTTGCATAAACTAAGCATGTACTGTGGCTGACTATTTCAGTCCCAGCTAGCATTTATTCATGAATTCATGTCAATGTCATATTCTTTTACATTTCTGGCTTACTAAGAGCGAAAAAGTTCCTGGCGGCCGTTGAAGATTTCTTATTTGTTAAGTGTCCTGGTCCTATTACCTCTCCAGGCTGATTTGATTTGTCGATCATGTGGACACAATTGCAGACTCTGACGCGACGATGATGGGTGATGATAATGATAGGGTAATGCCAGTTCCGGACAGACTCTCAAGCATCCATGTCAGCTTGTCGTAGGACCCGCGTCATTGAGGACGGAGGATGCTGCCCGATGTCCTCCGTACTCCGTATAGATCGTTCATGTACACGAGTCAGAACACAAAAAGCATGCCGACATAATACATGCAGATAGAACGAGGCAGAAACGATCCGAAACGATCCATTCGGCGGAAGATTCAGCCGTCCTCGAGCTCACTTTTCAGCCATACAGTCGGGGGCTGGTGGTGTTTCTGCCTTGTGATTACATACGCAAGGCATCCCGTTGATAATAACAGGGAGCTAAGGTGGCATCTTCAGGGGTGTGTACATGTTGTATGTATGGTGTATGTGGAATATGTAAGTAAAGGTCCCCAGGTGGGGTCGATTGACAGTTGGACGATCCCTCATTACGCCGGAGACAGACGAGACGAGAAGAGACTGCGTTGTCATCTCGTTCGTCTAACTGAAGCGACATGGAGAGCTGGCGAGTCATCTCTCCAGAAGACCGAATATCGCCAGCGCGCTAGATGACCCTAACGCTCTAAGCATGTACCATTGGCGTTTTAGCGCAGAAAATTAAACTCTGCTAGACGGCTATCAAAAGTACCATACAATGCCTAACTGACAAGTATCCAGAGAAAGATAGATAGAGTCTACACATGTTAGATGTTAGAGCCTGACATCTCATGTATGTAAATGCTGTCAGCCTGTCACATCCGATTCGAACTGGGATGTAGCTCCTTACTCTCACTATCTCAGTCGACTTCGTGGATGTCAATCTGGCACTGTAATGCAGCCAAGCCCAATGGCGCGCAATGACAGCGTCAGACAGAGTGACCGCTGTGGATTCGGAGAGGCTCTGGACTTGATTCGACGGGTTTCATTTCTCGTGTGCTCTGTTATTCGATGGTTCGAGTACGATGTCCGTTTTTCTTCTGGCGTAGATTGTACCGGATAAAGGAGGTTGAGATGAGCATCCATGTCAGATCCCCTGGCATGGGTCGCTGATCAAGGTCATTAACATCTGACAATGAGATTCAAGGTCGTAGGTATGATGACACACTCCTCCTCGAGTAATTACAGTATCCCTCTAGTTGTCTGCGAGCTGGACTGCTTCTTCCTGCAGGAACTTGCGACATGAACTCCACTGTCAAACTCAGCAAAGTGAATCGATCCATTCATATCCATGAGTAATCACTTACTTCATGCTTTCAAAGCTTCAAAGAAAAGCCAAACGATCGTTTTCTATGAAAACAGCGGCCCGCTCCGAACTCTAAGCTGCTTGACGTAGTCTACTTGAGGGCAAGGGGCCGAGATACGGCCTAGCCAGCCATTGTCCTACAACTACAGAAACCGATAATGATCAAACCGCCGCTTCCTCATCACCCTTCTATTGGCGGGCTGCATACTCCGTATGGTGATCGACTCTTAAGTGCTTGATGAATTCTACGTCTTATGAACTAGCATCATAGGTTGAGCGCCATGATCGGAGATTCAAGGTGAAAGAGTAGTGCAGACCGCGGTCTTCCTCCGTCTCTTTGTTTGTTGTGCATCATGTGGTTTTTGTCTTCCCTGCTTATGTTACTGGGGTTTATGGGATGTTTTTCATGGTGCATGCTGTTCATCAAAGAATAGAACATGATTCCACTTCGGACTAGCTCGTTGCCTTTACAATTATAACCGGGTTGCCTGAATTCTCCTTCCACCTGTCCTCACCGGATCTTAAACGCCCGGGGTTGTCACAGCAGGGATTCGTTTCCGAAATAGCAGATCCCGTATCAGCCTCTAGACTAGGTTATATTCGGTGCATACTTATTTCTCACCCCTCTTGCAGTTGCAGAGAATAGTTGCTAATGTTTACAGGTCAATCGGGGACGCAACCCCATTTCCGCCATTCCCTGAGCATATGATCTTCTTTCTACATCCCCGTGGAGGATCTGCTTATGTGGATGCTATTATAGATCCCTCAGGGTATCAGCACGCAGGTATAGCTGGCTGCACGCATTACCAGTCCGGTTGACGACCGGTTTCGTACCGAAGGCAAGGTTTTCACGAGAATCACGGGTACCTGGAGCGCGAGAAGAAGGGGCTGATAGCTGAGTGACGTCCACACCGCTTCCATAGGATGCCTACAGCAGTGCAATCTGTACAGCAATGTGCATCATGTGTCTGAGCGGAAAAGGTATACATGTGTGATTTTTCCATGGCTGGTTACATAATTGACAGGTGACATTCCTCTGTCGATCAGCCTTCAGTGACAGAACTCTATCTACTGATAGAGTACTACGTCCCAATGTCTCTCGGACGGTGGACTTACAGCGCAGCGTCTTTCTTCTGTCGGAAATAAATCCTTAGAAACGCAGATTAGTGGAGGTCGTAAAGCCTCAAACGATAGATGCATGACTTACTCGTGCTGACGGGGATCATTGGCCCTCCCTCGGAGCTGATGACCGACTCTCTCCAGCCAGATCCCCCAAGATCTACAGTACAGCAGTCGATTTGACAACCGTGGAACACTTTGTTAGACCCTCAGCTATGTACTAGCTCGCTGCATGCCGTCTTAATAGCCGACCAGGATTCACCCGGTCTCGGTACCTGAAGGTACTTTGATGTGGATAAAAAAGGGATATTGTCAAATATACATCGACACGATTTGTCCGGTGATGAATTCAAGGATGCGTATATATGTACGACATGATCCACATCCCGTACATAGTTTCATATTCTTACGGATTGATAGGGTGGAAAAGAGCAATCTACCAGGTTGATAGTTGCCTTGTCGAACGCTGATCGTGACGGTAGACTAGTATTATTGATCACGAGGAGGGAGCTCCGGCATCATTCATCCATCTGTGCGCTCTTCGAGAAGGATATCGTTACTTCCGCCGTGAAGAATCTGGTCTCCCCTTTCACGTTTTGCCAATGTAGCACGGTGGTACCCAGAGCAGTAGGTGTCGGGTCCTAGCACATGTACGAGCAGTCACCCTCTTCTGGAAATATATTGTCGTGCCCGACTCTCATTTCCACACACCTACGCTTTTTCCAAATGTCAGTGCTGTATATATATTCTTTTTAGACAATATTCAATATTTTGACTGGGTCCATGAAATCTTCTTCTCGCTCGAGTAGAAATTGCAAGTACGTTGCATCGTGCTCCAACATATTTTTCAACAGCAATTGATGCCTGACGATTCAGGCTTCAACACATCGGAAGACGCTGGCAATCTGCCATTGACTATTCAAGCATGACCATCGAAATCTTTATCTGAACCCTGAACAGATGACTTGAGAGTCGTAAGGTAAAGGAAACGATTTCTTAATGACCAACGAGTAATCCGTAACTACGTTATATTCAAATGAGGTCGGTCTGCAGAAGTGGAAAGCTACGCATCCGGACAGAGTGAAATGGTTCTCTGACGAGCGTGATCATTATTTCATCGCTGGATCTCTCGTGTATTCCCTCTGGACAGATCAACACAGTGACAGGGAGAGCTGATAACTCATGGTGAAAATGAAATTTCATTGATAGCCACGACCATACAAGGTTCGCATGCTAGCCGTGTCTGTTCATCTTTTATCTCTAAGAGAACCGTACCCGGCTGAATTTTTCCATATCATTCGCTTCCCACTTTAAAAAAGACCAACACCGAGAACAAAACGTAATCCGTTTAGCGCTTGCCAGCGGCCTTCTCCTGAGACTCCTTGAGGACCTTCTTGACGATCTTCTGCTCCTCAATCAGGAAAGCACGGACGATACGGTCCTTGACGCAACCAGCGCAGCGAGAACCACCGTAGGCACGGCTGACGGTCTTCTTGGGCCGGGAGATCTGGGAGTATTCACGGGGGCGGAGGGCGGGAATCTAAGCATTGTAATCAGTGATCCTGCTCATCTTCCTATCAGTTGGCTCAAGGCAATCAAATGTGCGCTTTCCGTTCCCGAACTTGTCATCTCGTGACTCAACAGTATGACGATCGAAGGACACCCAGAAAAGCGCACAGGAGATCACTTCCTAGCCAGAATTTTCACTCGGGAGCACTCACGCCGGGGAGCTTGATGCCGCAGTCACCGCACTTGGGAGCAGTGCCCTTCTTCTTGATGTGGAGGTAACGGAGCTCGCCGCCAGGAGTCTTGATGATGCGGACCTTGTTGGACCGCGTGTTGTACCTGTAGAACAAAAACCTATCAATATCGTGCTTTCAAGGGCAGACTCGGAACTGATGTGTCTCGTCGCGCCAAATATCATGCGATATGCCACTGAATTAAAGCGAACAACGCCGATGATGAAAGTGACGCAGAGGGCATAGGATTGTGAACTTCTGGGAGGGAATTTCAAACGTACGGGTTCCGTCTCCGCTGTAGAAAAAAAGGGAATCAGCATTTCATCGAAGTAAAAGATATATTCCACTATGAAAACCCACGTATTGCAATCTGTTGTTCGCCATTTTGATTGTCCTTGAACCTCTGAAACGGTGATCAAGAGATTGGCGGCGGCGTCGTCGGTTGTCGTCGTTGTCCTCGTAGAATTCTCAAAGTCATCTGGATTTGTGTGGGTTTCGCTCGGAGCCCTGGAAGGCCGCGCTAGCGCAAATTTGGCGAGCTTGCGCTAACACCAATATGGACTAGCGTCTTTCCGTGTAGAGCCGCCACCTCTGTTCAAGCTTGCCCATCTCCAAGAAAGGAGCCAGAACAGCGTCTTCCATCCACCCGTTGTGAGAAGCGGATCGTTCGAGAGTTGGGATTTTCTCTTTGGGGCTATCATTTCATCCTTCCGACACGAATATATCTCTATAGCCATCAGTTTTGTGAAGTCCCGTCGATGCTGTCATCTTGAGTTTGATGATTTTTCTCGACGTGGTTTGACGCGACTTTGCTCCATTATCAGAGTCGGCTTAAGTCGGAAGCGTCTTTCTTTCATTAATCGCCATCACCATGGCGTCGTTGCCTCCTCCCCCTCCCCCGGATGGGGTGCAGCCCCTCCTTCCATGCCTTTGGCGCCGCCGCCGCCAGGGTACCAGCCCCCAGCAGATCCGAATGTCGCAAAGTTTGCTCAGAAGAAGAACGAATGGCTGCGGACGCAGCGCAATCGGTTTGGAGAGAAACGGAAAGGCGGGTTCGTTGAGACACACAAGGCAGACATGCCTCCGGAGCACTTGCGGAAGATTGTCAGAGATATCGGCGACGTATCACAGAAGAAGTTCAGCAATGAGAAGCGCAGCTATCTCGGCGCGCTGAAGTTCATGCCTCACGCCGTGCTGAAGCTGCTGGAGAACATGCCCATGCCTTGGGAATCGGCTCGTGAGGTCAAGGTGCTGTACCATGTGAATGGTTGCCTTACGCTCGTGAACGAGACCCCGAGGGTCATCGAACCGGTTTTCCATGCGCAGTGGGCTACCATGTGGGTGTGTATGCGGCGAGAGAAGAGCGACCGCAGACATTTCAAGCGGATGCGCTTTCCCCCTTTCGATGACGAGGAACCTCCCCTATCGTGGTCGGAGAATATCGAAGACGTTGAGCCCTTGGAGCCGGTCCAGATGGAGCTCGACGAATCCGAAGATGCCCCCGTGTACGAGTGGTTCTACGATCAGCGGCCGCTACTTGATACCCCTCATGTCAATGGACCAAGCTATAAGAGTTGGAATTTGACCCTTCCGCAGATGGCAACTCTCTACCGGTTAAGTCATCAGTTACTCAGTGATGTGGTTGACCAGAATTACTTTCACATGTTTGACCTCAACAGTTTCCTTACGGCAAAGGCCTTGAATGTTGCCATCCCCGGTGGCCCACGCTTTGAGCCTTTGTACAAGGACATCGACCCCAATGACGAGGATTTCAGTGAATTCAATGCGATCGACCGCATCATCTTCCGAGCACCCATCCGGACGGAGTACAGAGTCGCTTTCCCTTTCTTATATAACACCCTACCGAGAAGCGTGAAAGTTTCCTGGTATTCTCATCCTCAAGTCGTTTACGTCCGAACCGACACTAACCTTCCTGCTTTCTACTTCGACCCTGTCATCAATCCCATCTCGTCGCGCTCTGTCGCCCCCAAGAATATTACAGTCAGTCATGAGGATGAGATCTTTGGACCCGGAAACAATGAGGACGAACTTTTTGAACTCCCACCGGAGGTGAAACCCTTCTTCGCTGACGAGGAACTGTACACACCTGATACTGCCTCAGCGATCGCCCTGTGGTGGGCTCCTCATCCGTTCAATAAGAGATCAGGGAAGATGGTGCGCGCGCAGGACGTGCCACTCGTCAAGCAGTGGTACCTGGAGCATTGCCCCCAGGGCCAGCCCGTGAAGGTCCGAGTCTCGTATCAGAAGCTTCTCAAGACGTATGTGCTCAATGAGTTGCACAAGAAGAAGCCTAAGGCCCAGAACAAGCAGAATCTGTTGAAGACTCTGAAATCTACCAAGTTCTTCCAGCAGACGACAATCGACTGGGTTGAAGCTGGTCTCCAGGTTTGCCGCCAGGGTTTCAACATGCTCAACCTCTTGATTCACCGAAAGAACCTGACCTATCTGCATCTCGACTACAACTTCAACTTGAAGCCAGTTAAGACACTGACCACTAAGGAGCGAAAGAAGTCCCGCTTCGGTAACGCTTTTCACTTGATGCGTGAAATTCTGCGCCTTACAAAGTTAATTGTCGATGCGCAAGTTCAATACCGTCTGGGTAACATCGATGCTTTTCAATTGGCCGATGGCATTCTGTACGCTTTCAACCATGTTGGCCAGTTGACCGGTATGTACCGTTACAAGTACAAGTTGATGCATCAAATCCGTTCCTGCAAGGACCTGAAGCATTTGATCTACTACCGGTTCAACTCTGGCCCTGTGGGTAAAGGTCCTGGTTGCGGTTTCTGGGCCCCTGCCTGGCGCGTTTGGCTGTTCTTCATGCGCGGTATCATTCCTCTTCTTGAGAGATGGCTTGGAAACTTGCTTTCTCGTCAGTTTGAGGGTCGTCATAGTAAGGGCGTTGCCAAGACCGTCACCAAGCAGCGTGTCGAGTCGCACTTCGACCTTGAACTGCGAGCCTCCGTCATGGCAGATCTGATGGACATGATGCCTGAAGGTATCAAACAGAACAAAGTCAACACAGTTCTGCAACATCTCTCTGAAGCATGGCGATGCTGGAAGAGTAATATTCCCTGGAAGGTGCCGGGGCTTCCAGCACCTATCGAGAATATTATTTTGCGATATGTGAAGAGCAAGGCCGATTGGTGGATATCTGTCGCACACTATAATCGTGAACGTATCCGCCGCGGTGCCACCGTGGATAAGACTGTTGCCAAGAAGAATCTTGGTCGACTGACTCGACTTTGGCTCAAGGCTGAGCAGGAGAGACAGCACAATTACTTGAAGGACGGTCCTTATGTATCTTCGGAAGAAGCGGTGGCGATTTACACAACCATGGTGCACTGGCTCGAGTCTCGCAAGTTCTCACCCATTCCATTCCCGAGTGTCTCATACAAGCATGACACCAAGATTCTTATTCTTGCTCTCGAACGCCTCCGCGAGGCCTACTCTGTGAAGGGTAGATTGAACCAGAGTCAGCGAGAAGAACTTGCTCTCATTGAACAGGCATACGACTCTCCTGGAACCACGCTGGCCCGAATCAAGAGATTCCTGCTCACGCAGAGAGCGTTCAAGGAGGTTGGAATCGATATGAACGACAATTACAACAATATCAACCCTGTCTATGATGTCGAGCCGATCGAGAAGATCACGGACGCCTACCTGGACCAGTACCTTTGGTATCAGGCAGAGCAGCGCCATCTCTTCCCAGCTTGGATCAAACCTTCGGATTCTGAAGTCCCTCCGCTGCTGACCTACAAGTGGGCCCAGGGAATCAATAATTTGTCCAACGTCTGGGAAACTGCCGATGGCGAGACGAATGTCATGATCGAAACGGAGTTATCCAAGGTCTATGAGAAGATTGATCTTACTCTCTTGAATCGTTTGCTACGTTTGATCATGGATCACAACTTGGCTGACTACATTACTTCGAAGAACAATGTGCAGCTGAGCTACAAGGATATGAACCATACCAACAGCTACGGATTGATCAGGGGTCTGCAGTTCTCCGGCTTCGTCTTCCAGTATTATGGTCTTATGATCGATCTGCTGCTTCTTGGATTGCAAAGAGCCAGTGAGATGGCAGGTCCGCCGCAAAGTCCCAACGACTTCTTGCAATTCAGAGACCGTGCCACAGAGACGAGACATCCCATTCGTTTGTACACTCGCTACGTCGACAAAATCTGGGTCTTCTTCAGATTCACCGCCGACGAGTCCAGGGATCTTATCCAGCGCTTCCTTACGGAGAATCCTGATCCCAATTTCGAGAACGTCATTGGATATAAGAACAAGAAGTGCTGGCCGCGTGATTGCCGTATGCGTCTCATGCGACACGATGTTAACCTTGGTCGCGCTGCATTCTGGGACTTGAAGAACCGTCTGCCACGGTCAATTACGACGATTGAATGGGATGATACCTTTGCTAGCGTGTACAGCAAGGACAACCCGAACCTGCTGTTCTCGATGTGTGGATTTGAGGTCCGTATTCTGCCAAAGATTCGCAATCAGAATGAGGAGTTCTCGGTCAAGGACAGTGTGTGGTCTCTAGTAGACAACACTACCAAGGAACGCACAGCCCATGCTTTCTTGCAAGTAACGGAGGAGGACATTCAGAAATTCAACAACCGAATCCGTCAAATCCTCATGTCCTCAGGCTCAACCACTTTCACCAAGATCGCCAACAAGTGGAACACCGCTCTCATTGCGCTCTTCACGTACTACCGTGAAGCTGCTGTCTCCACCGTCAACCTCCTGGACACGATTGTCAAATGTGAGACCAAGATTCAGACTCGCGTTAAGATTGGTCTGAACTCCAAGATGCCCTCGCGTTTCCCTCCTGCGGTCTTCTACACGCCAAAGGAATTAGGTGGCCTGGGCATGATTTCGGGTTCTCATATTTTGATTCCCGCCAGTGACAAGCGGTGGTCGAAGCAGACGGATACCGGCATTACTCACTTCCGAGCGGGTATGTCACATGACGAGGAGACCCTCATTCCTAACATCTTCCGATACATCATTCCATGGGAGGCCGAATTCATCGACTCTCAGCGAGTCTGGATGGAATATTCTCAGAAGCGGATGGAAGCTCAGCAGCAGAATCGCCGTCTGACTTTGGAGGACTTGGAAGATAGCTGGGATCGCGGTCTCCCTCGTATCAACACTCTTTTCCAAAAGGACCGAAGCACACTCAGCTTCGACAAAGGTTTCCGTCTCAGAGCTGAGTTCAAGCAGTACCAGCTGATGAAGAGCAATCCATTCTGGTGGACAAGTCAACGTCATGACGGTAAACTCTGGAACTTGAACGCCTACCGCACAGATGTCATCCAAGCACTTGGTGGTGTCGAGACAATTCTCGAGCACACCTTGTTCAAGGCAACTGCTTTTCCATCTTGGGAGGGTCTCTTCTGGGAGAGAGCGTGTCTTGCCAAGGGAACACGGCTGCTACGGTACGACGGTAGCGAAATTGAGGTCCAGGATGTTAAAGAGGGAGACCTACTTCTTGGTCCTGACGGCGGTCCTCGCCGCGCTTTCAACATTGTGAGTGGTGAAGACCGTCTCTACCGTATTAAGATCGGTGGAAGCAAAGAGGATCTTGTGGTTACGCCAAACCATATTCTGGTTCTTCATCGGGAGAAGAAAGCCAGGAACGTGTATACTGGACCATCCATCCAGGGTCATACCCAACGTTTTGAAAACCGGCTTGGTGACCTTCCGATTCTAAGTTCCAGCCCTGCGGCCGCCCATCGACCGAACAACCTCGTAAAGAACCGTGGGGATTTCTGGTCTGCGTTGAAGAGTGCTATCGCTTGGATTCTCCATGCCGAACGTAATTCGACCGGCGCCAAAAAGCTGCGGAATGTCCTCAATGGTACTGTTGGTCTTACCGCTCATGAAGAGAACTATTCCGTCACCAATCCTCAGCGGAAAGGCGTCTACTTCACTTACGCGTGGGGAAACCCTCAACGAACGAATATCAAGGGCCATCCAGACCACCCACCCGTTTTCCTTCCAACTAAGGAGGATGCTTTCTCTGCTGCAATTGCGAAGAGCCGTGAACTCTATTCGCAAGGTGAGGTTACGCTGGCTACACTTCGTCAGCGGTTCCTTGCCAAGTCTGCTGATGGGAAAGGCGGAGAGATTCGGGTCGACAGCAACTTGCCAAACATATTCCTTTTGTGGAACAAGAACAGGTCCAACCTCAAGTTTCGTGTGTTTTGTTCCCGGGACTACGAGAAATACGGACGTGCATATACGTTCGAGTCAATGCCAAGCACGAACGCTGAGGCACCAGGAAATGGAGACCAGGATGACGAGCTGCCTGAGGTTTCAGCAGCAGAACGCTACGACACCGTTGAAATGACGGCAGCTGAGTTCGCTGCCCTTAGTGCTGAAGAACGGAGTCGGTATCGCGTGTTCAGAAGTCCTGGCTTCGAGTTGCCTGAGCAGGCAGTGCCGGTAAACCCATATTTCCTGGGGCTTTGGCTTGGCGATGGGAACCGTAGGCAGACCACTATCTACAGTAATCATGAAGAGACGGTTCGTGAGTTCCTCGTGAACCATGCTGCTGAATTGGATATGCACCTCGTATGGCACGGTGGATTGAAGTATGCGACTGTCGCCAACCCTACATCTTTGATCCGTCAGCTCCCACCCGCCAATCCGGACACCATTGACCACCGTCCGGTTGTTCGTCAAGCGAGACAGACCATTCGGAAGCTACGGCTTGCTGCTAGGAATATCGCACAGCCTGAACTGGTACTACCTACGTCCCCATGTCCAGAGTCGCAGGCGCAACCAAAGCGAGAGTTGCCTTCGAGTACCGAAACCACCCCCCGTCGAAAGCGTCAGCCTTTGTCCGAATCATTGGCGGTGACTACCTTGAGACCTCCTGTGGCTCGGTCCGCTTCAGCTTTGACCTCCTCTGGTAATGCGTCAGGAGCGTCAACTCCGCTTTCCTATGAGGTTCCTTCAGTTGCTCTCCGATCAGAGGCCGAAGCCTCGAGCATCTCGGTTGTTCCTGATTCGATGGCCGGACATTCCGAACTGGATGTCGGCGACACGAACTCTGATGTCGTTCCTGAGTCCATTTCGGACGACGTCGCCGATTTTGGCCTTGATGGAATTCCTGAGCTCATTTCTAGCGGTTTCTCAGAGCTTACCACCGATTCTGAACTTATGCGGTTGATCGAACAGGCAGAGCAGTCTGAAGAGCCCATGCCAAGCCAAGGTTCGACGGAAAAGCCAAGCCAAGGTTCGATGGCAAAACCAAGCCAAGGTTCGATGGTAGGACCAAGCCAAGATTCGATGGTAGAACCAAGCCAAGGTTCGATGGTAGAACAGGATCCTGATCTCGACCTACTCGAAACCGATAGTGAGGATGAGGAAGCCGACGACGATGAGGATGAGTTGGAAAACCCCGATACTGAAGGATTTCGGCCGGAGCCGGAAAGCCAGCTATCCCAGTGCCATTTATCCAATCGTCGTCGGAACCACCGCTTGCGAACGGGTCGTCGAGCATATGGAGATTTGACTGGCGAGGAGGAAGATGAACTTCTTGATAACATTGTGGAACAACCAGAGTCTGGAGGTAGCCGTGTTAACTCACTCCGCAAGGCACTCCAAGACTTGGGGGTTATTACTCTGCCAGGATTAGGCCCTGAAACAGACCAGAAGCATATCCCATCGATCTACATGAAGAACTCTCGGTCGGTCCGTCTGGCCGTTCTCGCAGGACTCATCGACAGTGACGGTTGGTATGTGTATCCAGAGAATATGCTTGGCTTCGCCCAGAGTGAGCGTTGGCATTCCAAGCTCTTCTGGGACGTTGTCGCTCTGGCACGTTCTCTAGGCCTCAGTGTCTGGACGACACGGCGCATGATGTGGGACCCTGCTCATACGACAAAGTTTCCCGTGCTGTTTGCCCAGATCTTTGGGAACGTGGCCGAGGTTCCATGTCTCCTTGCACGGAAGAAAGGCGTCGAACGTTTGATGCCCCAAACCCATAGTTTCATGATCAAAGATATTTCCCTTGAACCGCAGACCACGGAGTGGGCTGGTTTTAGAGTCGACAAAGATCAGCTTTACCTGCGACATGATTACCTTGTCTTGCATAACAGTGGATTTGAAGAGTTTGTGCCTCCGTTCTTTTAATTTGTGGACATTTTGCTAACGAATAGTTCAGGTCGATGAAGTTTAAGAAGCTTACCAATGCTCAGCGGTCTGGTTTGAACCAGATTCCTAACCGTCGATTCACCCTATGGTGGTCTCCCACGATCAACCGTGCCAACGTTTATGTCGGTTTCCAGGTGCAGCTTGATCTTACAGGTATCTTCTTGCACGGCAAGATCCCGACTTTGAAGATTTCCTTGATTCAGATCTTCCGTGCGCACTTGTGGCAGAAGATCCACGAATCCGTTGTCATGGACCTGTGCCAGGTGTTTGATCAGGAACTCGAGCAGTTGGGCATCGAAGCTGTCCAGAAGGAGACTATCCACCCACGTAAGTCTTACAAGATGAACAGTTCGTGCGCAGACATCCTGCTCTTCGCAACAAACAAGTGGAACGTGACTAGACCGTCCATTTTGTTCGACACCAAAGACGTCTACGAGCCGACCACGACCAACAAGTTCTGGCTTGATGTGCAGTTGAGATACGGCGATTACGATTCTCACGATATCGAGAGATATGTCCGCGCCAAGTACCTCGACTACACTACCGATAGCATGAGTATCTATCCTTCCGCCACTGGTCTCATGATCGGTATTGATCTTGCATACAACCTCTACTCGGCCTACGGGCAGTACTTCCCAGGCTTGAAGACTCTCATCCAGCAGGCCATGGCCAAGATCATGAAGGCAAACCCTGCCTTGTACGTACTAAGAGAGCGTATTCGAAAGGGTCTGCAGCTGTATGCGTCTGAAAGCAACCAAGAGTTCCTCAACTCTCAGAACTACTCCGAGCTGTTCAGTCCGCAGATTCAACTGTTCATTGACGATACCAATGTCTACCGTGTCACCATTCACAAGACCTTCGAAGGCAACTTGACCACAAAGCCCATCAACGGTGCCATCTTCATCTTCAACCCTCGGACTGGTCAATTGTTCCTCAAGATCATTCACACTAGCGTTTGGGCTGGTCAGAAGCGTCTTGGCCAATTGGCGAAGTGGAAGACAGCCGAAGAAGTTGCAGCACTCATTCGGTCTCTGCCTGTGGAAGAACAGCCTAAGCAGCTCATTGTCACTCGGAAAGGTCTTCTGGATCCCCTTGAAGTCCATCTGCTCGACTTCCCCAACATCTCCATCCGTGCCTCTGAGCTCCAGCTGCCCTTCCAGGCTGCCATGAAGGTCGAGAAGCTGGCAGATATGATTCTGCGGGCAACCGAGCCACAAATGGTACTCTTCAACCTCTACGATGAATGGCTCAAGTCCATATCTCCGTATACCGCCTTTTCCCGACTGATTCTTATTCTGCGAGCTCTGCACGTCAATATCGACAAGGCCAAGATCATCTTGAGACCTGACAAGACGGTAATTACACAAGAGCATCACATCTGGCCTACGCTATCGGACGAGGATTGGATCAAGGTTGAAGTCCAACTTCGTGACTTGATTCTGAACGATTATGGAAAGAAGAACAACGTGAACGTGCAGAGCTTGACGAGCAGCGAAGTCCGAGACATTATCCTTGGTATGGAGATTAGTGCGCCCTCACTTCAGCGGCAGCAGGCCGCAGAAATTGAGAAGCAGCAGGAGGAAGCGAAGCAGCTCACAGCTGTCACGACGAAGACGCAGAATGTTCGCGGTGAAGAAATCATCGTCACGACCACGTCTCAATACGAACAGCAGTCGTTTGCTTCGAAGACCGAATGGCGCACACGGGCAATTGCGACATCGAATCTTCGCACGAGGGCCAATAATATCTACATTTCGTCAGATGATGTCTCAGAGGAAGGTTACACTTATATCATGCCCAAGAACATCCTTCGTCGCTTCATCACCATTGCCGATCTTCGAGTGCAGGTTGCTGGGTATCTCTACGGTAGCTCTCCTCCCGATAACAACCAAGTGAAGGAGATACGAACCATTGTCATGATCCCGCAAGTCGGAAATACTCGAGATGTTCAGTTGCCCCAACAGTTGCCACAGCATGAGTATCTGAATGGGCTTGAGCCTCTCGGTATCATCCACACGATCTCTGGCAATGAGCCACATTACATGACCGCTATGGATGTGACTCAGCATGCACGGTTGATGAATGCTCACCCCTCGTGGGACAAGAAGACCGTCACGATGACCGTGTCGTTCACCCCTGGATCAGTTTCCCTTGCAGCATGGGGACTGACGCCCCAGGGTTACAAGTGGGGAGCTGAGAACAAAGACACCACATCTGACCAACCACAAGGGTTCTCGACCAGCCTGGGTCAGAAATGCCAACTGCTGCTCAGCGACAAGATTCGTGGATACTTCCTGGTCCCTGAAGATAACGTGTGGAACTATAGCTTCATGGGAAGCTCGTTCGGCAGCGTCGAAAAGCGACCTGTCTATGTCAAGATTGATACACCTTTGAGATTTTATGACGACCAACATCGTCCTTTGCACTTCCAGAACTTTGCTGAACTCGAGGACATTTGGGTTGATCGTTCCGATAATTTCGCTTAAAGCAAGTCTGGTGTTGGATTCCCTTTTACTCTTTTATATTGTCTTATTGTCCCTGATCTCTAGGCGTTTTCCCCTTCTTGCAATCTTCCACAAGCATGACCGACGAGTTTGCTTTTCCCATCGATGTGTTCTTTTTTAGGGCGACATAATTCGAGCCATGGCCAGAAAAGCGAGGAACGATCATCTTTATGCGATGCAGACTACAACTTGAAATGAATACTGGGGCCTTGTATGTATGTACAGTAGTTAGTACAATCATCAGTTGTTTGATTAATATTCTATGGTCGATCTAGTCTGAGACTTGATTCGTTCTATCGAGTTCGATGTTTGCTTGATTCTTGATAAGCAGTTCGACTATGCTCCATAGTTGGATTAGAGACCAGTATCCTCTTTTTAAAATTAATACGGGGCTTAGAAGGATTGGCAAACCGGATAGTGCAGTCTAGTGCAGACAGACTTGAGACTGGACTGGGCTGGAAGCATCTTTAATTGGGAGATGATTTGATTGTTTGACGATGGCTTCAGATCATCCCACCAACCGCTACGTCGACATTGACAACCACCTCTTCCTGTCTATCTGTCTTTCTACCCAGCAGACTAGTTACAAAGCAACTCAGGCCATTTCCCAACCTCCCAGCTTCCTGCTGTTCCATTCTGGCTCAGCCTTTTCGAAGGCACTAACGCCATTCCTTCCGGCTGGCTCCGGTGTAGGCCACAGTTTCTCCTAAGCCATGGGGACCGAGCAAACCTCAATTTTCCTTTTTCTTGGCCAACCAGTAGCGGTTTCTTTTGCGAGAGCGAAAATCCGTTTCACCATTGCCTCAAGGACTTTAAAACCAAAGTCAAAATCCATGCAGCCCAACAGTGTTACAGTAGTGAGATGCGGGTGGAAATCATCGATCGCAAAGCATGCCGAAGATTGCGATCATATCCACCAGCGTACGCTATGACAGATTCTAATCAACCGACGGGTCTAGCTTACTTCGCATACGGATTGCCCGTCAAACACACCACGTTGATGGCGACCTCGACAGATTTAGACAAAGCTCATGAGAACGGCCGTTGAAGTGCCCCTCGACGAGTCACAGCTCACAAGTCAACGAACGTACACGGACCACAACCCTTCTCGGAAACTAGGCAATTGAAATCCGACCGTTAGTCGGGGAGGGCTTACCCTTCTCATCCAAGTGGTCAGAAAATTTCTAAGAACTCAGCGGAATAAACTCGGGAGAAGCTCCCTCGATAGTCCTTTGACGGTCTCGAACTTATGCTGCAGGGGACTCGGGTATCCCGTTGTTAGTTTCTGACAACCGTTCCGGCGAAAAAGGAAAAAGGAAAGAAAAAAGAAGGAAAGAAAAAGGAAAATCCATCCAAAGAGAAGCAGGGAAACTGTCGATGAAAATAAAACAAAGGGAACTTTGGGTGGGTACATTTTCAGGTCACAATCACTAGCCTGTGTGAGATACTACATCTCCTGCTTGACAGCATTACCTCTTACTCTATCACAGATTCGGAGCCTGGCATTCGCAGCTTGATTTCGTGACATTACCCCGAGGTCCCACACCGTTTTTTGAGACCTACAGGACCTATAGACCGGGATCGTTCTCTTACACTCGAGTCAGAACGCTAGGCTGGAACTGCCCAGCAGGGCCACGGCCCACCTAACACCAGCCATGAGCTAGCTAGCATCCTTGCGCTAGTAGTCCTGATACTCTTGTCACCCCCTCTTACCTCGTGGGAATTTCGCCGGTTGCTCCTATGTGCTCAGCGCCTTTCTCATTTATTGGCTTGTCTTTGAGTGGAGTCTCTGCCACACAAAGTACCACCCTGTCTTGTCTCGATGGTCAACCAGGGGCGTTGGCTATTTCAGCCTAACTGGTCAACGACATGTCGGTATCTGAAGCGAATCCCTTTAACCCGACTCCCAGCATCCTGCTCATCATCTTTCGTATCCAATAGGTGAGCATTAGTTTATCCTAGCCCAGCCCTGGTATAAGTGGGCTTGACTGTCTCCGCTCCTGTTGATCCTGTAGACATACATGCATGGTGACAGAGAAGATAAAAATGAGACTCTGTGAGACTCTCTTTGTCTAGCGCAGTGTTTCAAGCTTAGTTGTTGCTGTCGGTTTGCTTCCCGCCTTCTTGACCTTTCCGGAACCTGCCATACTTTGGCAGTCATCGGGCAGCCTGGCAGGGAGCAATATACTTCTCAATCAGAGTCTTAAATTGCCTTGTTCGAGTGCAGTCGTCATTGTATGCTTTAGGTCCCATCTGCAAGCTAGGTAAGCTTGACTGGAAACGCAGATCCGTCGAATGGGCGATTTTCTTGCCTTGTGCCGATTCTGTGATGTATGAACTCCGCCTCTCTTCTACCATCTGAATACCCGTTTCATTCTAGAACTTTTCTTGTGTCTTCGCGTCCATTACTCTGTATTGTTGGCCGGCATAAAGAGACTGCGGCCTATTACCGAACAGGGTGTGCGCCTTATGAGAGATTTATCTGAGCCTGTCTCGGTCTTTGTAATTTCCTTTTTCTCTTCTTTTATCTCCGTGTCCTTGCACCTTCAGTAACGACAAGGAGGGCCTCGAAAATTCCATTTCCACATCTAATCACCCCTGATGCCAATTGAGCTCTGTGTCTGAGCTGTCCGTTGCCTCGATCCGGTAAAGCTGACCCATCGCAACCAGTGCGTTGACGACCGAGTTTAAAACATTCCATTTCAGAGACCCAACTGGCCAACGTACCCTGGTAAGAGGAAGCTGTTTCCATTTGCCAAGTTCACCCCAAGTAAGCTACAGCCTGGACCTTCATCAGATACAGAAGGCCTAAATGGCCCTTCCTGCCCCTGGACATTTCTCGACTCGAGATGCATCACACGCTTCTATTCGCGCCCCCAGCTCATCATCATCTGGATATATTCCATCGTATTGACCAGTGGGACAGTCAGCGCGTATCAGCGCGTATCAACGCGTACCACATCGCTGGTGACCAGCCAGGGTAGGACTGGTTTGCTCGAGGGGTCTCGCTGTCGTTGTGCATGGCGGTATCATCTCGTGTTGCAGCTCCTCGCATTAGCTAACGTTCGCATCGCAATCTCCGACATAAACGAAGCGCTCCCCCTTTACTTGTCGCAATACCCAGTCACCGATCATCTATACAGTCTGATCTCGTTCGAAGCTTTTAATAAAAGATCGAATAGCCTGCCGGGGCTTCGGAGCCCTAGCAGAGCCGATGTATGTCTGTGACGCTGGCGGATCCGTACCGAGATTATGCTCTTGATTATGCCCAACATGCTAAACCGGAGGGGCATGAGAACGCACTCGCCTACCAAACGCAGCATTCGCATCTTCAACGTCATAAAGAGGCCAACCCTCCGTTCCCGCAGGGGAGCCCACACAGCACGGCATACGAGCAACATCATGCAAGCACGACCGTTCTCCCAGCAGCAAATCCCGACATTTCCCAGTCCGTTGTTCTCACACCAGCGCACATGCTCCCTAGACAGCTTCCGATGCAGTACACCCCTACCACCTTCGAGATCCCACCAGTTCAACGCGGCAAGAAGCGACCCCATTCCGAGGCGGAAGGCGAGGGTGACTACGGGGACCATGGAGTTCGCCCGCGCTTGTCAGCGCTTTCCACGCAGGCCTCTACAGAGACAGCACAATCCCCTGGGATGCTCTTTTCTGTCCAAGGCGATTCTTCACAGCAACAAGCACACCATCAACAGCAACAGCAGCCGCCACAACAACACCACCATCACCACCACCATCAACCGATGCCGAGCCATGGATTCGGGCCACCTGAGTCGATGGCGCTGCCCCAACAACATCACCACCATCGTCTACCCCGCAGGCATCGCTTCACTCTGCAGAGCGGCATGGCATGAACGTGGAAACGTCTCCTATACCTTCTGGTCTACCAAGTGTGGTGGGCCAACCAGGCATGCCTGATCCGGCTCCCAGGCCACGAGGCCCGAAACTTAAATTTACGCAAGAGGAGGACGCCCTACTGGTTGAGTTGAAAGAGAACAAGAACCTGACGTGGAAGCAAATTGCCGATTTCTTTCCTGGTCGAACGAGTGGCACGCTGCAAGTTCGTTATTGTACCAAGCTGAAGGCCAAGGATGTGACATGGACCGATGAGATGGTAAGCATTACTTTATGGGAGCGTTCATCCAACTTTACCAAAGGAACCATTGACGTACTAACTGATGCCTGTCTAGGTTCAACGACTACAGCGTGCGATACAAGAGTACGAGAATGATCGATGGCGAATAATCGCAGGGAAGGTTGGCAATGGCTTTACCCCAGCAGCTTGTCGAGAAAAGGCGTCTCAGCTGTGACAAATATTTTGATGGATATCATATAGGATACACGAAGACGGGAATGGTCAGTGATGCGTGGGATTTCCTACTTCTTTCTCGAATTTCTCTTTTTCCCTTATGTGACGGATGGACGGAGAGAAGCCATGGCTGGCTATGGAAAGATGCTTATACAACATTGTGTATATATCTGTATTATAGGAATTAGAACAGTCTTTTGGAGCAAAGGCGTTTGCAATGCCGTGATGCCATCATGGAGCAATTATTTAACCCTAAGCCCTAAATAGACTACCGGAACGGGAAGGAATGCTATACTGGCATTTTTGGTGTACCGTAGAAGCTCCGCAGCCAATCAGTTGGGTCTGCTGAGTAAGGCGCAGCGCACGACTCGGGAGGTTTTGGGCGGCTCTCAGTCAGGTGCTCCAGTCGTCAGCGGGCCGAAACGGCTTCAAACTCACCTCGAACCTCCAAACTCCCTCTCCACCAACCCTCCTTTCTCCCCTCGTCCAGCCGCGATACCATCAATTGCCCAGGACAATGTTCCTCCAACGCACGGCTTTTGCCCTTGCAAGGCGCGCCCCCGTCAGAGCCATTGCTGCTCGTCCTTTTTCCTCTTCCGGCGTCCGCTGTACGTGAATCCAATGAATGGCCAGCACCACCTCTATGACACCATCGTCCCTTGCGTGGCCCAATTGAGTCTGCACAAGGCAATGGATAACATTTGTCGACAATGCTGCATGGTACTCTGGCTAATATTGGACTTTTCATGCTTTAGGCCAAAAGAAGTATGAGGTGAAGAAGGAGGGCAAGATTCTTCCTTTTGAAGGTTGGTGATAAGATGATGTGTCCGGTCCCCCATCATGCAACATTACGAGAATGCCGAGAATCCCAATCAGTGCTTCTATCCAGAGCTACTATTTGTGCTATGCAATGTGTCAACTGGGCTCGTTCTCGGTCTCATTCTTGCATTTTCGTCATACTGGATCCCGTTGACTTTCCCTCGGCTATAACACCCATTGTGAACAAGGCATTGGGCTGACACTTTATTATTACTTTGCAGATATCAAGGGTGAAGAGGACCTCGTTCCTCCGGGTGCTAAGCCCGGTACCGTCCCCACGGACGTTGAGCAGGCCACCGGTCTTGAGCGTCTGGAACTTATCGGAAAAATGCAGGGCATTGACATCTTCGATATGAGACCCCTCGATGCTTCCAGAAAGGGTATGCGGATCTTGCTGCATGAGATGAGACGCGGGAGCAGCGTGTCGCGCGTTTGAATCGAGGCTAACGAAGCTTGCGTCATTAGGAACTCTTGACAACCCCATCATTGTCAAGAGCGCTGGTGACGAGCAGTACGCCGGTTGCACTGGATACCCCGCAGACTCTCACCACACTGTCTGGCTGACGGTAAGCATTGCACGCTTCGTGGCTCTGTCCCCCCAAATTGAGCAGATGGCTAAAACATATCTTCTCTCTCACCATAGGTATCTCGTGATCGTCCTATCGAGCGCTGCGCCGAGTGTGGCAATGTCGTCAAGCTGGAGTATGTTGGACCTGAGGAGGACCCCCATGCTCGTAAGTTCCCTTGCCTCATGTCGCTGCTTGCCTTCTATTTTTCACTTGTTTTTCGGCTTCTTACATATCTATTCGCAGACGAGCATCACAGCCACCACCCCCCTCACGAGGAGCCCAAGACTTTCGCCGACTACGTCAAGCCTGAGTACTGGTACCGGTAAATATTCCATGCTACGAATATTGAGGGACTGTCCCGTGGCCTGTTACTCCACGGAACAGATTTTAGGAGCAAAGAACGGACGATAAACAGCAAACGTCAAAATAGCTACTATTCCCACCTCGGGCCTTTTTGACCGTTTATTTGTCACGCGTCTAAGGCGGTTGTATCCTCACTGTTGACACCTCCCTGTGATTTTTCTTTTTTGTAGAATATAGTCGAAGTTGATTGAAAGGAGTGCAATTGGTGTTTGTTTTGTGTCGATTTTCTCTTCTTCCTAGCTCTACTGCTATACTGTAGATTGTCTTCCATGGCAGACCTGTCAGCCTTCAAGTCTACGCAAGATTTGAGAAGGATGTGACACATGCTGACATGCAACCACGGCTGGATGGCATGACATGGCCTAGTACGGATTAAGGAGTATGGCATGATCTGCGGGAGTACCGGGGAACCGGAAGTAGACCGAGACCCCGTGCCTTCGTTTGTGGCTAGGCCCGTCAAGTGTGCGATCAACGTTGAATTAGGCATCAGCAATTTTAACAGGTACGGGTTTCAGTGACGGAACGAATCAATAATCAAAACTCATCAATGGCATTATTGCTATGGAATAGACGTGTATGCGTTAGGAATCCAACAACGAACTTTTTAACATTATTCCCACCATGAAACCTTCTCCTTGGCCATTACTTTTCTAAATATCGTATATGTCTATTTCTTCGGTCGTGACAGCCTTTTGTCGTAGCTCAAATACTCAGTCACCGGGAAACTCATCGTTTGAGCCAGCGGAGTTCAATGTACCGTAGGGGAGGGTACACGAGGCCGGCCCATGTGAATCCCACATAGTTGCCCATCTATAGAAAGTCAGGAGGGATTTACTGGTAAGAGAACGATGATAGCACTTACATCTGCGCCATATTCCCCGACCAACTTGGCAAGCGGTCCGATGTACCAGAGCTGCGCCATGCAGAGGACTGCACCGGCCCAACCGACCAGGAATGCAATGAAGGCTGCAATGCCCACGGGCAACTTGGACGGATCGTTCCAGGCGTACCAGTTGTATCCGCTGCGCAAGCGGAAGATGAACCGCTCTTCGAGAATGATGGCGATCCAGATCGCAACCCAGTATCCCATGAGCGCGAGGAAGTTTGTGAAGATCTCGGATAAGTGGCTCCGCCCTGCCAGCGCGCAGACGATGTAGATGACTACGCCAATGGTGTTCCAGATAGCGCGAGGGATCTTCTCCGCGTACCGGCCAAGGATTTGGAAGTCGACACCGGCAGAGTATGTCGGCGCCACGGTGTTGGCGATCAAGCCGAGGGCAACGACTACGGAGCAGAACTTGCCGAATCCGTGCAAAGGGCCAAACCCTTCGACGATGAGGGCGCCTGCACCCTTTGCGTATGCCGCGCTGTATTCTAGGTGGTAATGGATACCGGAGGCGAGCCCAATGCCGGCGAGGAAGGCCAGGGTGAAGGAGACCATCAGGCCGGACAAGGATAGGGAGAAGATGGCCAACTTGGAGGTTCCTTCTGGATAGTAGACGAAAAAGTCCGCCGCCAGGGGAGCATAGGTGATGGCAGCACTCACGCAAATCGAAAAGAACGATAGCCTGATGCTGTCAGACTTGAACAAAGACTTTTTCGCCGCCCATAAACAAGCACTCTGGAAACTTACCGGTTCCCAATGATTGTGCGAGCATCTCCCATTGATGGCGTCGACAGGTCAAATTTCGTGGAGGAGACACCGAACAAGATGCAGACAACAATCAACTGAGGGAGGAAGGCGTAGCTGGATACGTTCAGTCTCTGTCTGTCAACTCTTTCAAGCTCTACATACCGCTCATAGTAATGGAAGGCATCAATGCCAAAGGTAGCAACGACCCAACTTATCAGAGCTATAATCACGATACCTTCGTCTTGTTAATTCAAGGACAAGCATTAATAAGTGACAAGTTACTCACCAACCGCAACTGACAGATTCCCATTTGGGGAGACAGCGGACAAGATTTGGCCTCCAACTACGCAGTCAATGAGGCAATACCCGAGCATCTGGATCAAGTTCAAAATCACTACGATCTTGCTGGGCCACCATCCCATTGCATACCGGCCGAAAGCCTGCTAACCGTCAGAGAAAGCTGCTTATCGCGCAAACCCCTTTGGCGAGACGAGAACATACCATGGTGCGGATTCCAGAGATAGGTCCTCGAGTAGCCATCCACGACGACACAACGGAACCAAGCAATGCACCCAGAACAGCACACAACGCCGAATCAAGGAAGCTGAGCCCATAAACAACAGGACCCAACATCCCCAGAGTTATGTTGTTTGCTGCCAGATTGATAGAGACCCAGAGCAGGAACGCCTGGGTGTAGGAAACCCAGGAGAGCTTTTTCATGCGTTCACCCTCATGCACTCGTTCGATTCCGCGAGCCTCGAAGTTATACTCGACGAGCTGTTGCTCGAATCTCCTAAGGTACATGCCCACGCGAGACGGGATAACGCGGCCATTGGGGCCCTCGCCATGGTTTTCACCATTCTTGTGAGGATGAGGAGTCGGTTGCTCCTTGGAACGGAAGCCCGAAGGCTCCTTTTCGGAGTGCATCCCTAGCGAGGGATTTGCGATTTCAGACGACATGCTGTTACCCTGAGTTAGTCTTCAGATATCATTGAAAGGGCTAGAAGCTGAAAGAGCGCGCATGAGTCCTTTCGCTGGAATTATCCAGATCAAGTTCAACCGTATAATCTCAGAACGACAACAGCGACGCCACATGTACCCAGGGACCATTGGCGATAATCTGACGATGCGACTAGCGACAATGACCACCAGAGGATATGTGAGACGCAACACTGAAGCCGAACACCGGTCTTCATGCAGGCAGATTATCTAGATACCTTGATCCATAGACAAAACCAGGCTACTCGTCTTCATGATAGGCTTGAAAGCTATCTGATGCAGATTTAAGAAGACAGGAGAGATGTACTGGAACGTCGCTTCTGGGCCCAATGGATATATTGAACCGGTGTGATACTCGATGACTTGGTAATAGAGGGAAGGAGGATCTTTTGAGTCAGCGAGTTTTGCTCCGACGAAGGATTGTCTCCACACCTTGATGGAGAGAAGTAACTACCGAGTAATATGTGGGGTTCTCGATCGATATGCCAATGAGCGCAAGCCTCTTCCCTCTCTGACAGAATTCGATCGACGCAAGGATGAGTACCACGAGTATGATGAAGAGGAGAAAGAAAAGAAAAGAACAGAAGAGAGTCAAAGAAACGAGCGGGACCCAAGGAA